TTTTACTATCAATTACTTTTATATGTGATTGTCTGACCTAAGTATATGTAGACGACTGTAAGGTGACTCATAGTGAAGGTGGAGATAGTAAACGAGGCGATAGAAATGCACTCACTCACACACCTATTATAATTAACTCTCTCTCTCTCTCTCTCTCTCTCTCTCTCTCTCTCTCTCTCTCAAAGAAACACACGAAACAAGAAAAGACTTAAAAATTTCCCTTAAAATTAGACAAAATAACTCCACAATAATTCTCTTTAACACACAAGTCTTTAAGAATCAGGTGACTGGCCTCTACCACTTCCCCTAATTAGCCATTCATTAAAAAAATAATTCATAATGGTCGTTAGAGTCTTTGGACCTAATTTACTGAATGAATTTATTTTACGGTAAATTGACAACGTTACGTGTTAAAGGTAAATTTATAGTGTGTTATTTTTTTGTATCGGTATTATGCCTGGGAAAATATACAGGCACACACAGTACACACACACACACACACACACACACACACACACACACACACACACACACACACACACACACACACACACACACACACACACACACACACACACACACACACGAGAGAGAGAGAGAAAAAAAATCTTCTTTGCACTTGTTGTCATTTCTCTGTCGGAGTATTATTTAGTTTATAATTAAAAGAGGATATGAAACACTGTGAGAAAGCTTTTGTGTGTGTGTGTGTGTGTGTGTGTGTGTGTGTGTGTGTGTTTATCTCCTGAGAGTACAAAGAGCGTTTTTTTACCTTCATAGTCTATAACATTCCTACATAATTCTTCTCCTTTTATCACGTTACCTTCCACCTCCTTCCTTTCCCAGTATGTAATTTCAATAATGTTTCCCGGATGCTATTTTAGTTCGGCATCAGAAGTCAGACAGTTAGAAGGTCTCCTAACGTCCCTAGTGACGAGGAGAAGCCAAATCCACACGAGTCGTTGGGAATGTGGGTGGCAGAAACGAGCCCAGAGACTTGCTTCATTTCTCCCTGTCATTTCCTTCATCATGTGACCAATTTTATTCTTTTCCTCTGCTTCTACTTCTTTTCTATTTTAACTTTCTCGTTATTTTCTTTTATTTTTGTTCTCAGCTTTTTTTTCCTCGTTGTCTTCTCTTGTCATTTTCCTTTAGCTCACCTGAGAAAGCATACTCTTATTTTCTTTCCTGTTCACCTATTTCTGATCTTCACACACACACACACACACACGCCCCTTCAACTTACATACAAAGCTAAATAGTACACCTTAATCTTCATACTAATTACAATTCTTCATACTGAATCTAAAGGTGTATATTAATTCCTAAGGTAATGCAATTTATTATCTAAACTACTTTAATGTTGGAATATTTTAAATCAAAGTAAAAAGATCAAAGGAATGACATTAACAGAGAGAAAGAGAATTGTGGTATGAGGTTTTCAGGCTGATGTAAATGTAGTATTCCATTTCAGCCACTAGAAGGAATGTGTCCAAGGAAAGACTTCAATGTGGGAGTTATGGTGACCTTAGTTCACCCCTGTGGATAGTAACGAGGACGCTTCTCTCACACATACACTCTCCTCCACCTGAAACTTTCATTTTTTTTTGGATCCATAAAGAATAGAGAGAGAAAAAATATTGGAGAATGAGAAAAGAAAAAAGAAAGAAAAATGGAAGAAATCTAAATCCCAGATGAAATTTATATCCCAAGATTCTTTTCAGTCATTTTTAAACATTATCATTTTTTTTACTCTGGTTTGATGTTAATCGTTGCTTACATTCTTCACTGTGTTCATTCAGTTTTATATCCCACGTATAACTTTGTCTTACCGAGGGTCGAGGTTTCTTGGGGCTTTCTGTGCGATATGTTACCGGAACTCTAAGTCAATAACACGGGTTCGACTCAATGTACCGAGAAACGAATCAATCATCATGGTAAGTGAACTAAATCGAGTGCTTCGGGTTCATACATTCACAGATTTTACAAGTGATATAGACGTGTAATAATGAGTTTGCCATCTTGTTATTTTTAATCGAAACTAATCTCAAGTTTATCGTAGTCACTGTTGGGAAGGTGTGAGACGCATTATGGTACGACAGTGGAAGGTATGTCGTCTCTCTCTCTCTCTCTCTCTCTCTCTCTCTCTCTCTCCTCCTCCTCCTCCTCCTACCTCCTCCTCCTTCTGTTTCCCTACCTCCTCTTCCTCTCCTACTTCTCCTATTCCTTCTTCTCTTTCCGCTTCTTATCCTCCTCTTCCTTCTTATTCTCTTCTTCCTCTTACTTCTCCTACAGGTTCAGTTAACCCATTTAAGAAGTCACTCTCTCCTATTTCTCTTTGCCCTCCTCCTCCTCCTCTTGGGTTTCTCTCTATTTTACTCCTCTCTCTCTTATTATCTCCCATATTTCTCTCTCCCCTTTCATAAACGCCCTTTATGAGGTCTCCTTTACCTTTCTCTGACTTTTATTTTCCCAACAGGTCATCCAGGCTGGCTCACCCACACTCATTCTT